CCACCCTGCAATAAACCTGCTTAATTATTTATGCCATTCCTCAGTTTACTCTTTGAGCTACTCCTGAGCACTGCTAGAGATTTTCTCAGGAGATGCTTTGCCTTCCTCTTTTGTATTTCCCACTTTATGTGTACTAACTCATTTAATCTTCACAGCACCCCTGTGCAGTGGCATTATTACTGTGTTATAGTACAGTATTTCCCTTTCACAGATAAGGGAACTGAGGTTGACAATGAAGGAAAAGTTTTCATCTCACTTTGTTTCTATAGCTGGAGCAATTTTTTTCCTACCCATGTCTTTCAACCCTTAGTCTAGGTCTTAACTCTCAGTAAGGACTTAGTACATATTTAATTTATTGGGTAAGTGAGTGAGTGAATAAGCAAAAGAACAAATGGAATACTGTACTACCTGGCAGGCTGCTGATAGTTGTACCCAGTGTGACCTTTCAGTTTTGGACCTTGGTGAAGGCTCGTGGTATTAACCACAACTCAAGGGTTGTTTAGAGAAGGGAGGTGTGGACTGAAGTTTGTTGCTGCTGGATTCTCATGGTGTTAGCATTCAGCAGGGCAGCATTTATAACACCCAGTATAGACATTAAGCGAGGACAAAGCAGCATGATCGTTAAGTGGGTGACCAGTTACCTGACTTTGGCTATGATGGCAGCACACTGTGACTGATAGAAAACAGGAATTGGGGTGTGGAAGGTACCCATTCAGGAGTGTGGGAGAGAGAAAGAGAGGAAGGAGAGGGAGAAGGAGTAGGAGAGAAAAAGATAGGGAAGGTTTTTTTTTTTTTGGGGGGGGGGGGGGGGGGGGAGGCGGTTACCGGGCATCGAACTCGGGACCTTGTGCTTTTGAGGCAGGCTGTGGCACCACTGAGCTAAATCCCTGGCCCTGGGAAGGAATGTTTTTCTAAAAATTGGTTTCAGTAGATTGGAGTTTTAATCAAGGTCAAATTAAACAGGCCATTCTTTGTTCTTTGACCTCCTTGGGTAAATCTGTCCTGTATTTTATTGTTTGGAACTTCATTTTTTAAAGAGGTTAAATTTTGCCAACACCCATTTGCTATTAGAATCGGTGATTTATCATCAAATAATGGGTCACCTACAACAAATGAGTTGCTGTGATTATTTGTTTTGCACGGGAACAGACAAACTTAGACCCATCCAGAGTGTTTTAATGTGAATAGATAAAAATGTTTACTTTTTACCAAAGCTTTTGCTCTTCAGAAGCAGGAGCAATTGATAATTATAAAATAACACATATATAACTTTGTAGGCCCTGTTATTTGCTAAGTTAAGAGAGCTTTTAATCTTTATTCTCCTTATTAACTGATTTATGTTTCAGTTTAAATAATTTTCATGGTACTTGGCCATTTCAGACCTAGTTAGGAGGAAAAGTACAATGCAAAGTGGAAGGAATTTTTCAGAACATTTACGAGCCAGCCCAAGTGGATTCCTTCTCTTATTTTTATTGTTTCAAATCATTAGTGATGTCAGCTTCTAGGCGTTTGTTGTGTTATGTTTTTAACTCTCCATGTCTTAATACATTCTTTCCTTCATAGTTGTTCTTCTCTTTCTATCGCACTAATGGTTGGTTCCTTGATTCTTGGCGATTAAGGATTTCCCCAGAGCAGGAGTTCTAGAGAAAAAGACCAGGACAAAGGACACAGTAATTGTCTTTTTTTTCCCCCACTAAAATGACTGTCACTCTCTCAGATTACACTCAGTCCACCAAAACTGATCACCATGCATTCAATGCACAGTTTTTGTCCTCAAAGAATTGGTAATAAATAGTTATCCCTTGGTGGGGATATTGGTTCCAGGACCCCCATGTAGACACCAATTGGAGGATGCTCTAATCCCTTTTGTAAAATGGCATAATATTTTTTCATATGACCTATGCATATTCTCTCATACTTTAAATTATCTCTAGATTACTTAAGACATCTAATACGATGTAAATGCTATGCAAATATTTGTTATACTGTACTGTTTAGGAATAGAGACAAGGAAAAATGTGTATATGTGCAGTACAGACACAATTTATTTTTCAAATATTTTTGATCCATGATTAAATCTATAGATGTGGAATCCATGGATAGGAGGGCTGATTATGCTTAAGAATACTCAAGGATGTTAATCTCCTCAATACACCCAGCTGTAGAGAGGTTTCTTCATCAGATGGAAATGGATAAGGAAATGCCTCCCCTCTCTGCAACCTTTGTAAAATGAGGGTAGAAGGCATTAATGTTGGTGAGGTTGAAATTAAATATTAGGAAAGAAAATTAGAAATCCTTTCTTCTACCTTTTATGCTGTATTTAACAAAATAAATTATTTAGCTGCCTTATTTTGACCTTCTGCTGCAGAAGAGCCATTCCAGTGAACTTGGACCCCAGGGTCCATGGATGTGGTTATTCATTAAGTCATTAACTCTAGCAATTTAAGGCTTCAACTAGGCTTGAGGTCAGTAACTAGTTGGGCAGCTAAGTCCTACCTTACTGCATCTGCTAATATCCCTCCAGTTTGGAAATAGGCTTCTTGTTAAATTTAGCTTTCCATATTGAAACATAAATAAAAAGATATTTAATTTATCCACCAGACTTTCTTGCTGTGGACACCTGAGTATGCTTGATCCTTGTTAACACTAACAGAATTGTGTCATTCCTTAAAAAAAAGTCCAAATTAGAGACAAATTTGGAGCAGTTATTGATTTAACAGTCCCATACATGCCTTTGTACACAGAAGGAGCATGAAAAAGATTCCTAGTGATAAGCAGGTCAAACACTGTGTTGATAATAATAGCTAAGGTTATCAGATGTGTATTGTGCCCCAGGTACTGCTGTACAGGCTGTATGTGTGTGTGAATCACTTGAGCCTCACATTAGCCCATAAGAAGAAATTGAGTTGCAGAGGAATGAAATAACTCACATAGGTCATACAGTTAGGAGGGGATGGAGCCTAGCCTGACTCTAGAAACTGAGCCCTTGCCCCTTGTATTAATTGCCTGAAACAAAAGTATTGCCTCTTGCTGCCAGATTTAGGGGTACATTCCCCATTTCCCGTATTATTTTCTAAATTATATGTACCCCAGCTCCCTTCCCACCAGATCCATGGCTCATCCTCAGCCTTATGCCTACTCATTATTCTTTCTTCCCTGCTCTGCTCTTAACCCCAGGATGCAGACTCCTGGTGAACAGTCTGCTGCTTTCCTCTGGCTGTTCTGTTCTCCCCCACACCCTCTCTGTCCCTGCCTCAGTAAGCTCAGCATCATTCCTCAGCTGTGACTGCCAAAGGCTCCTTATTGGAGGGACCTCCTCCGTGAACTGTTCTAGTGACACCTATCACCTGGTGATGGCTGCCTTAGCCCTTGGCCCTGGGCTGACCTCACTTGGAGGACACTTCCTCCAGGAGGCCTTCTGTGCTGCTATAACAGAAAACCACAAACTGGGTGATTTATAACTAACAGATATGTATTTCTCACACTTGTGAATGCTGTGAAGTCTAAGATCAAGGCACCAGCACAAGTTGAGTTGTCAGGTGAGGGCTGCATCTTTTGGAGATGAGGAGTGCAGTGTGCTCATGAGATAGAGGGCAGAAGGGCAAGTGGCTCAATGCTGTAAGAGCCCTCTTTTACAAGTGTCTTAATCCCACTTACAGGGGAGGAACCTCCATGGCCTAATCACCTCTTGTTTGGCCCTGCCTTTTAATACCACCATATTGGCAATCCTTGAATTTTTGAGGGGACATATTTAAGTCTTTTCTTTTCCCTCTGTCTTGTCCTCCCTTCCTTCCTTTCTTCCTTTTTTTTTTTTTTTTTTTTTGGTGGTACTTACGGTTAAACCCAGGACCTCATACATGCTAGACAATTACCAGGCCACTGAACTTCATCCCCAGCCTTTTAAAAATTTTTAAATAGAGTCTCACTAAATTTCCCAAGCTGACCTCAAATTTATAATCCTCCTACTTTAGCCTTCCAAGTGGCTGGGATTACAAGTGTGCACCACTGTGCCCAGCTGGAGGGGACACGTCAAATCAGAGTGCCTTCCTTCCTGAGTCTTTGTAAGGTGCCCCTCTTGTGCATCCTGGAGCACCCTCAAATGCCTTCATCCTGTGCCTTGGCAACTGACCACAGTCACACTTGCTTGTTATCTAGGCTCTCTTCAGATAATAGGCTCCAGGTTGCAACCATGGTTGAAGGGTCCATTCTTGTCCTCCTTGCACCTGACACATGGTATGGTAAACAAGGAGTGCTTAACGAGTGCTTGGTAAATGAATAGCAACATGTATCCCAATTACTAAGCTATGGCAAACCTCAGGGTGGTGTGCATCGATGCATGTGTCAGGGCTCGTCATGCAGAGACAGGCAGCTGCTTTCTGTGCTCCCTGCTGAGAGTGTGCTCAGCCTTGTGACAGCACTGCTGTTCTTGTAGGCTGTAGGCTCTTCAGGTCTCCTTTCTCAGCCTCCTCTCTGCTTTAGGTGCCACATGCCTTCAGGAAAATCCCTGTATTTTTCTTTCATGCTGGAATTGAACAGGAAGCAGATGAACAGTTGCCTGGATGAAGGGCCCTGCCTAGATTTGAGGTCATCTTTGTATCAGTACTGTCCTTATAAAAGTCAGGAATGAGGGTTTACAGATGAAAATCAACCCAAGCAGTATATAGAGCTGACCATCAGTCTGCTTTGCTGCTCTCAAAAAGAGATCACAGGACCCTTTCATAGAGGAATTTTTAATGTTCATTTTAGCCCCTGAAGGTAAAATATACAGCCATTATTCAGGAAAGAAAATGTGAGTAAATGGTATGGCTTGGAGGTAAATGTTCTCTTTGAGGCTACATCTGTCTGAGAAATCCTTGGAAGGCAGTTGTAAAATAATGACACACATTTTCACTTTACTTCCCACCTTTTAGGAGTGTATTCTCCACATAGAGCAAGATCAAGCTGCATTTCAACCAACCATGGTTTCAATCTGTGCTGATTGTAATTTTTATCCATCATAGGTTTGAAGACATACCTGATTTCGGGTCAGAGAGCCAAGGAATCTCATTGCAGCTGTGCAGAGGCCTTGCTTTCTGGCTTTGAGGCCATTGACGGTTCACGGGTGTCCTCAGGCCCTAGGGGACAGGGAACAGCATCATCAGGGAGTGTCAGTGACTTGGCGCAGACTGTCAAAACCTTTGATAACCTTAAGGTTAGTTTTTTTCCTTCTTCTAAAACTTTGTTAATTCTACAATAGAACACGTGAAATAATAATCAGTGGGTGGCAAACGACTCAGAATGCCTTTTAGTTTGGTTTTTACAATTTTTAAATTTAATGTAAAGTTAGCAGGATTTTGCATTTTTAGTATCCTTCATTTTTAACGTATTATGCACCTCCATTTCCTTTCTGCGTTGCATAAAAATGTTTCTCACTGGAGTTGTTAGTTATTTTCTTTTTCTGCAACATGTGGTGTTTTTCAGAATTTCTAAAAGCAAATGATAGATGACAGTAAAGGTAATTTTCCTTTTATCTTGCTTGAGGAGCTGATTTTTATTTTATTTCAGAGACCACTTCCTCGTATACTCCTGTGTCTCTTGAAATTCACAATTTTGTAACTCTTACATTTTGTTGATGTGTGTGAATCGTGTGACGTAGCTCATTGAAAAGAATACACTTTGCCAAGAACATCATGGAACTTTGTTACTGGAGCAGAACTCTCCTGGTGGCTATCTGGAAATACCTATTTCTGGACTAACACTGTGTCATAATAAACTACCCAGGAATTAGCATGATCAGCCTTGGGCTATGAAATCATTCTCATTTATGACCTCTTCCTCAATTATCATAGTGAATTTAGTTCTCCCACTGGTATCTTCTGTTTATTTTTACAGTTTAAATATTTGCTGTTTCCATTTTTAAAAAGAGATGGAGACAGTTATAACAGTTCTGCTTCACTGTTTTGTGCTCTTAGATAACAGAAAAATACAATAATCAGGATGATGGGCTACTGTAACGGCTTTAATCCAGTATGTTTCTACTGATCCACATTTGTTAGCAGATTTGAAAGCTAGCTGTTGGTCCTTAAGCTTAACAGTCTTCATAATGTGACAATCAGCTGGAATATCCAGGTTATCTTACCATGTTGGAATTCATCATGCCTGTCATCCAGTTACTTCTGGTAATTATTGCATTCAGGTTTATTCAGAGTGCTCATATATCATTTTCTCTGTGTGTGCATTGTGGTTTCTCAACTTTGGCACTATTGATATTTTAGACCTGATAACCTTTGCTGTGAGGGCTGTCCTGTACATTGTCAGATAGATGGTAAGCACCATCTATGGTTCTGCTTTCTGTCATTAGTAACATCCTTTTCCCCTCATTGTGCCAACCAAAAATGCTCAGCATTCCGTGGGGAGGCAGAACCATCCCTGGTGGAGAGCCACTGGGATGGTAGTACTCTTTCTGCCTGTGCAGTAGAGTTAATGTAACTGAACTTTCCTGAATGCCTACCAGCTTTAGAGATGGCCTGCTTATTTGGACTGATGCTTTGCATGTCAGACAGAGGGGCTTTACATGCAGAGTCTGTTACTGAGCACAGGCAGGGAGGAATAAAAAAATGTGGCTTTCCAAATGTGGTTTTATTACATGGGGACAAATGGTTTCCTCCAGACTTCAAACTGAGCTGTGTTTAAGTAGAGAAATAGTTTGAGCTCAAAGCCCCAAATAAGTGATTTGTTGTGTTTGTCTGCCATTTTGGATTGTGCATATTGTGTTTCTATCTATCAGGGAATGCAGTGGTTGAGTTCACATATCACATACCATATTTACAATTTTAGTGACGGTGATTCCATGCTAAATTCCCTTAAGGTTTTCTCTTACCCTGAAAGAACATTTCTTGTTATAGTTGTAGATTTTTGCTTTGATCTAGACAGGCAAAAACTCTTTAACATATTTCTATTCTATGTATACATTTTCCAAATAATATGAAAGTTTCCTGAAAATCTTGTGATTAAGTTGACTGTGTTACCAAAAGGAATTTGAGGGGGAAAAAAAGAATCTTTGTGCCCTTTTCAAGGAGGGAAAGATGAATTGGGTCATGAGGTATAATTTGTGGAGTATTTTGATGGTTTGGGCAGGATGATAGGATATTTGAGACGAGGGCTGTTCCAGAGCATTGGAATTCTTTGGATTCCACATTTGGAGTGGAAAGAGCATAGAACACGAAGAGATGAAAGACCAAGTCCTACTGTAGTGAAGCCACTGTGTGAAGCACTTCTCAATGTCCTTCCTTCCCTGGGGTCAGATGAGAGCAGGGTGTAATTGTGAGTGAATTGAAGGCACCATAATCCTAAACTGCAGAGGAGACTGAGTCTGCTTTAAAGATGATTAAGATTATAATATAATCTATAAGACCTTCTCTATAATCTGACCCATAAGGCCTTATAAGAGGTTTTGAACAATAGACATGTAAAATGCCAGTTGCGTGCCCCTGTGGTCTTTCGGTGGTCTTATCCTACAAACTTGTCAGTGCCTTGCACATGTGCCATTGGCATGTTGCCTTAGATATATTGTCTGCACTAAGGTTAGCTTTCCAATATGAGGAAATCCCATCTAATTACTACTCCTAATCCTTTCCCAGGGTCTGTTGGGTCTTCCTGCTAATAGGCAGCTTTTCTTTTCTTACTACTGATCTCTCATGTCAGAGAGTGAAACCCAGGCTATCTGTCCCCATCCCTACATTCCAGTCATCCTCTGCCTTGTGTAAGGCAGCGTTTCTTAAAGTATGTTCCCTTGAGCAGTAGTTTCTCAGAATAGACACAGGTGTCGTGTATAAAAAGAAACTCTGTGGTCAAATTAATTTGAATAATTCTGAATTAAACAACCCAGAAAGAGTTTTTCTACCACAGGGCTTCTCAGAGCCTTTAGGGCACCATTGGGCATTACTGTCTAGAATGAGGGCTGTAGTATATAGTGTTCTCAGGCCTCTCTGAGCACAGATTATTTTTTCAAGATGCACCCTACAGGGCAAGTGCTATGGGTGACTCCATTTGGGAGAACATTTCTAGTTTCATGGCTAAGACCAAGAAATTAGAGAAAGGTGTTCAGTAAATAGTCACAGAGTGACCATGTGCCTGTCTTGTTCCTTTGCCTCCTCTAGACACCTAAGTTCACTCTCAGCTTCCCTGAAGTTTTCTGTGCCTCCCTAGATGATCTCTAAATTCTCAGTTCTTTTTAGTTTGTACCCTTTGCTCAGACATCCATGGTCTTAAACCTTTGTCCCCTGTGCACCTTCCTGTGGCCTCTCTGAATGCAGGATACATGAGTTAAATGATTTACGTATTTCCCAAACACACAGAGAGATACAGCTCTGTGGAGGCAGACTAAGGAGGACAAAATTCAGAAGCCTGGGCAGAACTGTCTAGAATCTAGGTAATGTCCAGGAAGGGTTTATTTTCTACCCCTATATGTCCCATATAGTTCTCCCATGTCCCTTTAAGTTCTCTCCTAATTTGCAACTGGAAATTTCTTATCTCATCTCTCATAAAACATTCTGAGTATTTTAACCACCTATCAGGAAGTGATAGTGATGACACAGGCCAAGGACCTTCAGCCCTGAGGTCATAGGTCAAAGAGAATCCTACCCATACCCCGGTCTTGGCTTTTCTCAGTGACCAGCAATGAGAGTTCCTCATCAGGAGGGATTGTCTAACAAGTGAAGGCAGACACTGCTGGAACCATGGTAATGCAGCTCTGCACCTAAAGCATAAGAAGATGCCTTCACATTTTGGAGTGGAGAAGAAGTCAAGAGAGTAGCAAGGAGAGACCAAGACTTTCCACATCAGCCCCTGGGGCAGTGTGAGTGTTACAGAAAGGGCCATGACCTCAAGCTGGCAATCCTTCAATCCTTCACAGATCCTTGGCTTTGGGGCTGTGACCAAATCACGTGATTTCTCTAAGCCACAGTACAGTGTTCCATGTTGGTGAGATGGTTCTGAGGGGGAAGTCTTTCAGGGTTGGCTGAAATGAACTGAAGCCAGGTCTGTGAATGCCAGAGTTGGAGTCTAAGCATGGTCAACACTGGGCATGCACCAGTCACTCCAGCAGAGCAATGGATGCCAACCAGACAGGAGGAGAGGAAACCTGGGAGGAGGGAGAGATGCAGTTGTATTTGCCCACCAGAGCCACAAAGGTCTCACCTTCTCTCTTGTAGTGTTTTGAGGGAGATTCTTACAAATATTGCAGTCCGTCATTGCTGTGGGGATGAATGTTCTCTCATACAATCAAGTCTCAAATAGGAAATAGGAGCATGGGCACTTGGCCCATTGAATGTGACATCAGCTCTGGAGCAGGTGTTTACCTCATTTTATTGTGAATAGTATGTGTGATGGGTGGATCACGAATACACCTGTCAGAGGAGCCAGGTATTTAGCTCAGTGGCGCCGTACCTGCCTCACAAGCGCAACGTCCTGAGTTCGATCCCCGGTACCAAAAAAAAAAAAATACACCTGTCAGGGCCAGGAATGTAGCTCAGTGGCACAGTGCCTGCCTGGCAAGTGCAAGGCCCTGAGTTCGATTCCCAGTACAAAAAAAAAAAGACTACACCTGTCAATAAAAATAGCTTTCCTAACATCTTTGTGAAGGACAAAGAAAAGGAAATCCAAAATTGAGTGGATTTTATCATATTAATCCTCATCAGTGACCCACTGGAGCTGTGAAGTATCTTAGTTTACCTCTGAAAGGCCTCACTGAGAATGATGCTCCTGCTTGGCTAGTCTGTGAGTTACCTTGATCTGTTCTTCAGAACCTTGGGGCTCCATGCTCACTGGGTGTTTCTATACATTTACTGTTAGTAATGAAGTTAATGATACAGGTTTGCCCCCATGGGGGTGATTCAGAGAGGACTTGTCCTATTTTCAGAAAGTTCATCCTTCCCCTTTAAGGGCCCTAGCCCTGGGAACCATCCTTCTGTGACAGTTCCTGTGACATTTTTTAAATGATGCTAAATAAAGGACACTTCTTTTACCTCTTTATTATTTGTATACAAAATTATTATGAAATAGGCTCAGTCAACCCAGTTTGAGGGACTAGAGGTCTTTTTAGTAAATTATAGAAAATGAAAAGATAATAGATTTATAGTTTATACATTCTCATATGTAAAGTTTAGAAATTAAATAAGTATGTATTGTAAATAGTGTCTGAATTGATTGTGT